AGCTTTTCCCGATGCTTAATGAGACCAAGCTTCGTGAATCCACACGCAATCCTTTTCCATGATTCAACCACTGGATTGTATATGGCTTAGGATGGGGTGAGGTTTTGAGCTTTAGTTTTTCAACCAACGTTTTGGATGCCACGTTGGTGCAACTTCCGCTGTCCACAATCAAAGAACACACCTTCTTTTGAATGGTACATCGGGTGTGAAAGATGTTTTCCCGTTGTAGTTGATCATCGGGACCAGCCATGCTACTCAAGGTCCTACGGATAACCAAGAGTTCTCCTTCGTGTGCCCCGATACATTCTTCTTCTTCAAGCTCTTCTTCAGCCCACGAGGGACTGATTTCTTCTTCTTCATACTCAACAATGACCATTATTTTCTTATTAGGACATTCATTGGCATAATGACCTATCCCTTGACAATGGAAACACTTGGGAGCTCGGGTAGTGGTTTGGCTTGTTTTGAAGGGGGGCGGATTTGAGAAAGAGGGGATGAAATTAGGTTTTGAGGTAGGGCTTTGGGCAGTAGGTGATGGAGCTGTTTTTGGGGTGGAAAAGGGTGATTTGGAGAAAGGGGATGGGCGAACCAAAGGGGCTTTGTTCCTCTTAAGTTGAGACTCAACTTTAAGAGCCAATTTGGAGAGTTCTTCAAAGGTGTCATAGGGTTGCTATTTGGGTGTTAAGTCCAAATAGATATCAGACTAACGTTTGAGAATCATTTTCTTGAAGATCACATCTCATCAAGAGCTCTTCAAACTCCCGAGTATAGTCCTCAACACACCGGGTACCTTGCCTTAAATGTTGAAGCTTAGCAAAGTTGTCTCGTACGTATTGTTCGGGCAAGAACTTCTTCTTCAACAAGCTCCTCATTTTGAACCAAGTTTTCACCGGAGCCTTGTTTTCACGCCTTCTTTTGGTGGAAAGATTGGACCACCAAGTGGACGCATACTTTCGGAACTTCAACGCCACAATCTTGACTTTCTAATCTTCGGGCACATCCTTGAAATCAAAGACACGCTCAACTGTTTCCAGCCACTCTAGAAAGTCGTCCGGACCATTCTTTCCTTCAAAGGTTGGTATGTCAACCTTAAAATCAGTAGCTCCCTTTTCTTGTGCAGTTCCTCTAGTAGTGTGGCTAAAATCAGCTTCTAGTTGAGCTTCTTCCTTTTCTTCATCACTTTCTTCCGGAGCGTTCACCAAGTTACTTTTTAACTTAGTGAGTTGAGCAACCTGTTTTGCCAAGTACTCTACTTGGGCTTTGAGCTCGGTATTAGAAACCCAGAGCTCTTCATTGGTGATGCTTGGTGAAGTGTTTGACATATTGAAGAGAGTGAAAGGAGAGAGTTATGGCAGCAGTTTAGGCCGAGAAAGGAAAGAAGAAATGAAAAGAGTTGGAAGTGTGTTGTATGGCCTCAAGAGATGTTCAACAACAGGCTTTGATACCAAATGTTGGATCTGGGCGTAGGTTGTTTGAGGAAAAACAGTGGTTTTAGATGGAGAAGGACTGATAGTCGATTACCTAAAGAGATAATCGATTATGGAAGGGTTCAGTTTCTCAAAGGATTTGGTGGAGAGTTTCTGAAGGGGTTGATAGTCGATTTACACAAATATGAAAATCGATTATTGGTGACTGCAGATGTTTCTTGTGAGTGGATAATCGATTATTCCAAGCTGGTAATCGATTATTGGGCAGTTTCAAGGAACAAAAAGGAAGTGTTTTAGTAACGGGGATAAACCAAGGAGGTCTAAGAGATATAACACACTATTATCCTTTCTTGGGGTTGAAATCTAGATTTCAATTAAGATATAACACACTTAATGAAATACTAGAACCTAACACTCACACTTGAAACCAACCGTAAGATATAGAAATTAGGATTTGAAAACAGAATACAACCAGTGTATTTCTATCTTGAAATGAAGAATACAATCTGTTTTCAAATGAGGCCTATGGCCGAAATAAATAACAAGGGAAAGGGGGAAATTACAAGCTTTGTTCCTTAATCAAATCACCAAAATATGACTTAATATGATATGCCCTGATGGAATGAAATAAAAGTGGAGTGTAGTGTTTGTGGGACTTGGGTATTTCGGCCAGTAGTAGGGGGGAAGAATTGAGGAAGCTAGGTTTTATTTTGAGAAGATGTTTATGGGGATTTGAGAGGGATGTGATTCGGCCATACTAGGGGACAAAGGGGTGTGAGATATATTGGCTAATTTGGTTTGTTATGGTGGTTGTGAAGTGGAAAGGGGCAGGCCAGGGATGGGGTAAAGAGGGGTGAGATATGGTTGTTTGTGATGGGTTTATACGTCCCACACATCTCAACAAATGGGATGTTTTATTCTTAGCTTTGGAGTGTAGTTGTAGGGCTTATTTGGTGGTTAAAATGGAGGGTGTGTATGCTGTTTGGGTAGGGAACAAAGGG